TTGCAGGAAAAATTAGCATTTTTTCATCTCCTGTTTTGTAATTTATTTTGTTCTTTGTTTATAATGGGTATAGTTATTACTCTCCTCAAAAATTATTTTCTTCTGTGATTCTGTGATACAATTGAATGTATATCTTCTGTTTACATGTGAAACCACTAAACGCAACACTTACTGTAACCCTGTGGACAGGCTATCGTGGGCTGTGCATCACATCTGATGAACATCTTGACATATGCCCTGAAATTTTCTGTAACCCAGATTTTCTCCACAGAACTTCTGAAATTCCTCCCAGTGTTGTCATTTCAAAGCTGTCAGTGGTATCAAGGGACTATCCGACTTCCTCCTAACCTGTGCTTTTTCTTTTGAATATGGTTTTGCCTGTGGCCACCAATTTAAGGTAGTATTAGAAGGTACATAGGGGACTGTAAAAGAGGGACTATGGAACAGCAAAAAGTCAGGAAGTTTGCATTTGGCTAAACTTAGGTGTAACATGGAAAACTTTTCCAGCTGTTTCAGCAAGAGCAGGAAAAAGAACAAATAGAATATATCCTTATAAAGTTTTGTAAATAAATGGAAATAAATGGAGGAAAAACATTCACCTTGTTCCTTCCTTTCTTCTTTCCCCTTTCTATTTTTCTTAATTGGTGTTAGGCTGCTTTCTCCATTGTTGCTGTCAAGTTCCAACTGCTGTGTGTGCCCTAGAAAAACTGAGCAACTGATTCACAGAAACTGTTATTTTAACTGACATAAGCAGTGTGAACTTTTTGCTGTTTAGGCCTCTAGGCAATCTTTGCAATCTAGTTGATGATTGTGACATCTGAGAAAAAAAAGAGATCAGTTATGTTCTCCTGAAATCATTGTCAAACTGAGCCTCTGAATACCTACCTCAGCAAAGGTTCAGAAGTTAATTTTATGATTGATTTCAAATGCCATATTCATGTAACAATTAGTAGGATTTCAGATGCCAGAGACCTCACATCCTTCAAAATTTATTAGAAAGTATCTTTTTTAAACTTGACCTTTTTAACCAAAGTAGAAAAAAAAACCCCAAAGCAGGACATTATGTTGCCAGTAGTTGTCACAATGCCACGGTAGGTTTGAAGTGAATACATGAAAAATGTGTAGGCATTACTTATTGCGTATTTAAATAATCTTTCATTCTATTGTGAATACCATAGTAAGAAAACTTGGGTGGAATAGAACAGTCCGTCAAAAGTTTATTCAGTTCAGTGACAGGTACCATTTATATCTTGGTTGGTTTTTTTCATTATCAACCACTACTGTTTAATTTTAGGCTATTTCTCTCTCATCGTAAATCAGAATGGGGAGATGATAAAATCTAATCCATAAAAAAAAAAAAAATTAGGGAAACTTTCCATAACTGAAAGCAAAGGATTACCAAATTTAAGGTGCGGTCAATATGCTTTCAAATGGCCTGTGTTGCAAATATATATGCAATTTAGCTTTAGAAAGAGTCTTGAAAAGGCTGTATGAATGAATATCCTGATACATGCCAAGAATGAGTAATTTTTTTAAATATGAGTTTATTTAATAACCTTCATATATCATCAAAAATGGTACAATTTCTCTACTATTTTTAACAGTCCTGCTGTGAAGTAGCCTTTTGCCTCTGTCTGATAATGAATATTAGTGTCACGTTTTAGCGTATAGATTGTAAAGATTTTAATAAATTTCTAAAAAAAAATAAATATGCAACATGCATAGTTAGTTTAAATAGGGAGTTAAACCTTTGCATTTAATTGATAAATTTCACTATGGATTTTGATCATGTGTACTTTTTAAACAGTTCTGTCTAGGAAGATATAGGTGAACTATGAGGAAGGCCTATCTTTTAGCTTCAATTTCTTTAATAAATCTTAACTAATAAACAATTCTTCAGACTGATCTGTGCTAGGAAGTGAAGCATACACACAAGCATGTCTGTTGTAATGATGAAGATAGATACTTGAGGAGGAATTCTTTGGAGATGAACCTGCTTGGCAATCTCAGTGCACATTTTTGCTAAGACTGAATACTAAGACTAAACAGATTCTTTTCCAAACACTGTATTTTTTTTAAATTTTTTTTCCAAAACTGGAAAGGACTTGGATGAAGAAAAAAATGAGATGAAGCATGCTGAGACCACTCTAGTGTTCGTTCTATATAAAAAAACCATTACCTTAAAAGTATAGTTCATAATTGTTCTCAATACATCTTGAACATCAAATTATTTCATGAATCAACCATCTGTGACTGCAGATTCTCAGTCTTATTAACAGTAGACCTCAGTAACACTACAGACAAATATGGGTCTTTTACTGAAAACTTGGCAATGAATTTAAAGCTTGAAGGGTGTATATGATAGCTTTGGTCAGCTAGAACTGTCATAATCCAAACATTAAACTATTTTGATCACTGTTAGGAACCTTCAAAGGATAATTCATCTTAGGTCTAGACTGGAAACAGTAAAGTCTGTGCAGATGAAACCTTGCAGCTACCTCAATATACTTCAATCAAAGTTTTAGAAAAACACATAAATAATGTAGTTGAATGCTTGATCTTGACAAGAGGTGAAATCCCATGAACTATTATATGTATTATTGAACATGGGTGTCATTCTCAGATCACTCATCTTTTACTGGGTTTCAGGAAGTTGTGGTAATATGTGTGCCAGTTTCAGGATGTCAAGTACTATATTTTCTTGAGTTCTTGACAAATGTAGTGGTAAGAAGATGCAGCTAAACATCATATTGTAGGAGACCTTATTTACACAAATAGAAGACTGAATTTCTGCAATAGAATTTCAACAGTTAGGCAGTGACAGTTATCATGTATATGGCAGATGTAGATTTGCTGTAATGTGCATTCCTCGAGAACACAGTTTGTCAGAAGTCGTAATAGCTTTGAATAATGCATTTTTTTCTGATAGCACAACCCCTCATAAAAATAAATGCTGAGTTTTGGATTGTATAAATTTTTGCTGCATGCACCAGATCATTTAATGACACTACTTCATTTTACAGTATTTTGTGAAAAAATTTTCATTTGAAAATAACATAAAGAGTGTTACATGTATTTTCCTGTATCAAAGCAGATAACAAATTTTTATTTCTTTGACTTCTATTGCACAATTGCCTGTGTTAATCTATCATGACTAAAGCAGCAAAAAGGGGAAAGTTTGCCAGGAGAGGCTAAAATCATACAATAGCATATATATACTGTAACTTATAATGGATCATTGTTTTCAACTTTTTGGAATATAAATCAGTATCTTTAATTTATTCCAATTCTTCTGATGTCTTAAAATATTTTTCTTTAGTTTATTTTATATTTCTTTCTCGTGTACATGAATTAAACACGGATTTCTTTCTGATGTGAATGAGTACATAAAAATAAATACCCTATTCTATTATCTCTGCTGAAACAGAACAAAATAAGCCAGATGTCATCATGTTTGCTTCTATCTTTGATAGCTATTCGCACAACAATCTTAAGTAGTTCCTGTCATGCACAGGAGTCTTAAATCTTTGATCTGCAACATTAGTAGAACATGTCTAACTCATCATTCATTAGATTGTTATGTGGCTTTTGTTTTCTTGCTAATATTTATAGAATATTTTGGCATTTTTCTCATAAAATGATGTTGTAAGTGAAAGTGTTCTCCAGTATAATTTTTTTATCTTTATGTTTTTTGGCCTTTTCAACATTTTGTTATATAATTTGGGTTGTAAATTAAGTTCATTTACTATCATTTAAATGCCAGTGTGACTGTTTGAGTAACTCATTAAGGGTATGCATTCAATAATTAAACTTATGTTGTATAATAGGGATTAGTTAGTATTGATATTTTGATATAATGCTTTACAGCACTCAGAGGATATGCATGTATCGAGTAATAAATTCTCTCAACATGCATGTTAGTGAGGTTGGTATGGTTTATTCTGCACATGGATAGAGTAAGGAAAGAGAGGAGTATGGAGTGAAAGAATTTGTTCATGAAACATATGGCTTCTGACACAATACCTGAATTATATGTGAGCTTTTCAGACCACCATTTCTCTGATGAGGATGTTTATCTTCTGTGCTCTGTTCATGATGAATTTCTTCTCTAAAGAAAATTAAATAATTATGGTTTGTACTACTTCCATGAAAGGAATAGCGTGCCATTAATTAATTTCAAAGAATTTTAACAACAAAATCAATTCCATTTTCCTCCTCCCCTACACATACTTCTGGGTTTTGTAGGTGGAGGGGTATCATCTTCAACATGATAACTCGTTCAGACAATCTCTTTCAAATAACTAATGTTTACAAATGGAAGTAAATTTCTGCAATAAAGGAAAATATGTCTATTCATATCTTCCTAATGTTATTGCCTAGTTCCCTTCATATTTCTTGTTTATTTTAACAAATATTGACTTAATTTATTTTCTAGAATCTGGACTAATTTGAAACTAAAGACAAAAACTAACATTTTTATGTACTTGAGACTTTAATTTACTGTCAGAGACCAGGTAATTAGATTTTTTTTAAAAATACTATTTCACCACTTAAATGAAAACTCTACATAAAGGGCTTTCTACAACCTGCATCCATAATTATATTGTATGAATATTTTTGCAATATTTACAAAATAAAATTAAATAAAAAGTTCTTTTACTCCATTCTAAGAAAAGAAGCAAGATTTGTAGGACATTTTTCTTGATAATAAATTTGTAAGGAACTTCATTGAAGGACTGTTAAATCATGAACTGAGTTTGAAATTAGCTTTGAAAATGATGACGTCTTTTATAAACTGAAATATTTTGTGTAAGTAGATTTCATAATCTAATTTCGCCTAATATGTGTAAGGAATATTGTTTTAAACAAACAGATGAACAAGTAAACAAAAAACAACATCAAAACCAGAGCCAAATAATTAATTATAATTGTTGGACAAGAATTTATTACTTAATTCTACAAATTTTAACTAACATATTTCTTTTTTTCTATTTTGACAGTGTTACCTAGTCATACGTGTGGCAACCCAGGAGAAATACCTAAAGGAGTACTTCATGGAACAAGATTCAACATTGGTGATAAAATCCGATATAGCTGTATCTCTGGTTACATCCTAGAAGGCCATGCCATGTTGACATGTATTGTGAGTCCTGGAAATGGTGCATCATGGGATTTTCCAGTTCCTTTTTGCAGAGGTAAAAATGAAGGCAGATTAAATTAATTTATTTTGAGGTGGTTTGATTTTTTTTTTACTTTCTAAATTTATGTGTACTAATGTAATGTCTAAAAATATACTACATTTAAAAGTGTAATAACTAAAACAATAACTCTCCAGATGTTATCTATTTATCTTTATTTTTTCCTTTTCATTTACATGGGCTTAGCTACGTCAATTTGCCGGGCATGACCTGACAAATGATTTTTAAAGTTCCTGGTTTGGAAACTTTCTGCCAGGAAAAAACTTCAATGATGTAAACTTTGAAAGGTGGTCCAGTCTCTTTGAGTCCCAGTCCTGTTCAAACCGTGGATAACTTCAAAGTTGTGTCAGATTACTCAGATTGCCCAGTTGAAAATTTAATATGTCCATGGATGGAGATTCTGAAGCCTCTCTGGAAACCCGTTATGGTACCTAGCTGCCCTCATTCTCATGGCCAATTTATATTAGAATTTTATAGATTATGTCTATTTCTTCTTCTTCTGTTGTGAGTCTATGAAAAGATTCTGGTTCCATTTTTCCTAAACTAAAGAGTGCAGTAAGATTTCCACTTAGCCTCCATTTGTCCAGGCAGAAAAATCCATTTTCTTCATCCTCTTTTCTCATACAACATATTTTTCAGCATCCTGATGATTTCCGTCTAGTCTGTCAATGTCAGTGTCTCTTTAGTACTAGAGGACCTACTGCGGACAAAGCATTTCAGATGGGACCTGCTGAGTTTCAAGCAGATGAGCTCCAACTCTCTCTCTCTCTTAAGCTGCCATGTTCTTGTTCATGCAACCCAATACAAGGCAAGCTTTCAGTGCTGCAGAAGTGAATCACAGACTCAGCTCCTGTTTCGCCAGGACTTCAGGTCCTTTCTGTTAGAGCTGCCACCTAGCAAATATTTTTTGCATGTGATGATCCTGTCCTAGGTATAGGACTTTGTATTTCTGTTTTGGAATGTCATGAGAATTCTTTCATTCTTCCAGTTTGTCAAATCCTGTCATGAAAGTCTGTCTGAATGGCAGGTGCCATATGCAAACCTGGTCAGGGTGTATTCAATCTCATACTCCAGACCGGTGAACATATTATATAAATTCAACCCCATTTTGAATCCTCAGGAAGTGCTTCAAACCACTGACCTTTAAGCTTGACTTAAAACAATTGGCCCCTACTGTCTCAGCCTGATTGTCCAGACATTTTTACTCACATATTAGTCTACCCCTTCAGTCCACATGCTGTCAGTTTGTCTACAAGGACATAGTGGAGAACTGTGTTGTGAAAACTTGGTTGGCATCAAGCTAAATCCTTTCATAAAAGAAAGCAGTGAGGTAGTAAATTATTTATATTGGCAAAAGTTGGCTGTTCCTGTTCACCTTTTATTCCTTTGTGTGCTTGTTTTTGATAAATACTTTCAGCACAATTTTCTGGAGATCTGAAGTGAACTTGACAGATGGATAGTTGCTAGAATCCTTGCTTTTTTTGAAAATGAGAAATGAAAAATTATTTTTTTTCCAGTTATGGAGGATCACCCTTGGATTGTCACAGCCTTCCAGATATGACACAGTGCAGCTTCACACTGTAGCACACCAAGAACCCCTAGGGACATGTGGTTAAGTATCGTGAACTTACACATATCCTGTTTACTTCTAGAATTCCTTGTATTGTCCCTACTGTGCTGTGGCTACTACTTTTCTTCAAAAAACTTCTGCATTTTATTGAGAATTAGGAGACCTGATGGCAGCCCACTGAAGAGACATACATAGGGGACATTGAGTGCCTCAGGCTTTTCGTCTTCATCCCACTGAAGCAGCAGACCACTGTGTCCTTCATTTTACTTTTGTTGTTGATCCACCTATAGAATGGTTTCTAGAATGACTACTCTTCCCATTCCTCACCAGTTTAATGCATTTGAGCTTTGTCCTTCCCCCTTCAATCTCTGCATTCCTGAGCAACATGGTTTAATGTTGAACATGGTGGTGGTGGTAGGTCGGCAGTTTGACTTGATTTAAAAGTAACTCTATTCCTTAATGATTCTATGATTCTATCTCCCTTTCAAGTAGCTTGTCCCTCTTTTCACATTTCATGCACTAGTTTGGAGTTTTTTATTTTTTTTCGCATTTCAGTTTAAACACCTTGGTCAGGAATTTCCTGTTCAGTCCCAGCAGCCTCCTGCTATGCCTATATATATGTACGTAAATAGACGCATCATTCTTAAGCTTTGAGGAAGCTGCCCTTGAAGTCAAACAAGCTCTGCTGGGCCCACTACTTTACTATTTCACAAAGAGGTTAAAATCTGCTCTGCTGAAGCCCAAGGAGTTGATGCTATAACTTGTCTTGCTCACTTCCCTCAAGATTTTTTGCTAATGGTTACTGTGACCAAAGCCTCTGTTGCATATGACTTATTTGTATGCTTCTTTGCTCCCTACACCTAGTCAGCCTGTCCAATGCCTGCGTTAATAAAATTATTCACAGTGACCTCAGAAATCTATTACTTTACTTACTCTCTGCTATGCTGTCATTCACAGACATGGGGATGACTAAAGGCTCTGATGATAACCAGATCCTGTGTCTGTGAAACTTCTAGTACTTTAAAGGTTTTGATCACTGCTTGATCAGATGGTCTGTAGCAGATATTCATCATAATGACCTCTCTCTTGACTCTTCATTCCTACTCTATCCCGCAGGAGCTCAAGAGCTTGTTGCTTGTAGCACAGCAGAGAGAGCTCTGTTGATTCAAGATCTTACTTTGTGCAGCCTGTCCTTTGCTTCCTGCATTTCCTGAGAGTCAGTCTATCGGTTGCAGCCCTCCAGTAAGGTGTACTGTCCCGCTACGTCTCTGATGTTGATAACACTACAATTCTGGGACTGTATATGCACTTCCAGTTTGTGCAATGTGCTTCACATGATGCACAGTTTTTCCATACAGGCACTTCAACTAGGTTTCCAATCATGTTTCTCTCTGAGGGTGGGAGGGAAACATTCATTGCCCTTTCCCACATGTTCTTTCCTGGGTCTGTTAAACCACTTGCCTTTATAGTTTTGCCCTATGTCCCTGACAAACGTACTTTAGAGCTCTCTTCACCAGGTCAACAAAACTGTTGCCCTGTTCCTCCAGGCAGATCCCATGTCTCCCCTCCTGACCTCATTCCTGGAAGAGGACCCTGTGGTCAGAGAGGTCAAAGTCTTATTGCCCAGCACCAGATCCTTAGTCAAGTGCTCTTCTGCAGGAATCTGACACTCCTATCCAAACTTTTCCACTTCTATTAAGGAGAACCCCTCTGGTCTCCTGTGCTCTTCACCCTAATCTTATGCCCTTTGGAGACGCTCCACTGCTCACACTCTCCCTTGGCAGTATTATTCATACACATGTGGATAAGTAGCAAAGGGAAATTATTGTATCATGTAATATTTTGTAAAGGTTACTTCTAACTGAAGGGTCTCATAATGTAACTCCTCACAGCAAAGAAATATTTTATAAATTTCTGTGCTCCAAAGCAAATACAAGGGTTAGTAATCAAAAAAACAGCAGAATTCTAGGTAGTGTTTGTTGTTTGTCTTTGGTTTAAATCAGCAGTCAACAGAGATTTCTTTCTCTGGTGCTCCAAAACAGAAGGAAAACAGAAATTTTCTAACCATTCAGTATCTGATCTTATATGTTTTTGTGGTTTTTTTGTCCTCCTAATAAGGCATAGTAAACAGGTTTCAGAAAAATATACGTCACAAGTTCAAGATATCATTAGTGCCTACTAAATATTTGTTGTATTTCAGCAGATTATGCTGTTTGGCAATGTTTGCTGCACACAAATATCTTTAACAGGACTGAAATTTTGTTCATAATTTGTCACTCTATGAATTAAACCTAGTAATAAAAGATCAAGTGGGGTCCTAAACCTCCTGTAGAACTTATATGAAATCCAAATAATTCTGTATAAATTTTCAAGAAATGAGGAACATAACAGAAAATTTATTTAACAGTTAATGATTTATGTGAGCTCAGCCATTCCCTCAGTGGATTTTTAGAGCTCATGTGGAATATGGATTTGATGAGAGATTTTAGATGTTCCTTATTTTATTTCACTTTATCAGTCTGGAACATATGCCATTAGGTAGCCCTTTCCATTCGCTATGTCTTCAAGCAAGAAATGTTCCTCTATTGTTTCTCTAAGAACCTTGATCTTTTCCGTGAAAGCATCTTTTGTTACAGTTTTGTTTCCAGATGGTATTCTTCTTTCTTGTCATCATAAACTAATTTCATGGCATACATGCAAGATAGTATAACAGAATTAGACAAAGTTATGAGGTTCATATACTAAAAAATCCTAACAGCCTTGTTCTCTGTGATATGCTTCCCTAGCTTTGCTGATGCTGAAAAATTACTATTTTCTGGAGTACTGTTGCTTAATAATTTCAGAAGCATTAAGAAGCTGATGTCCAATAATTTGTACATTCTCTAACTTTATAACTGATGTTTTTACTAGAAGAATTCCTAGTGAATTACGGAGTCTCAAGGGAGATGTAAACAGCAGGACAACATTGGCTCTTGTATCTGCCATTTTGTTTCTTAGCTACTGCTCAGTTTCAGAGGTTTACTTTTTAAAGTATATCTATGGTGAGAGTGGTGAAGATGAACTGTACTGTAGAGTCGTTGATGGCCTAGAATGAATTCTGAACAGAAGTCACATGGGCAGTCAGTGCAATTTTTAGAAAGTTTGAAAATTTGGCTGTCAAGATATTTTTTTCCTGTTTTCTTTCAATTAAAGCACACGCACACACACACGCGCACAAAAAAACCCACCAAAAACCAAAACAAAACAGAACAAAAAAACCAAAACCAAACCAAACCAAACCAAAAAAACCACAAACAAACAAACAAAAACCAAACCAAACAACAAAACAAAACAAAACAAAACAAAACAAAGAAACAAAAAAGCACACACACACACACACACACACACACACAACCACCACAAAAACCACAAACAAAAAAACCACCAA